TGAAAACACGGTATGACCGCAAAATGAACAACAAGGGGTTTGATGAAGGTTCACTAGTGTGGTTATACAATCCAGTTCGCAGCAAAGGGAAATCTCCTAAGCTTCAAGCCAAATGGGACGGACCGTACCGGATTGTGACAAGGATCAATGACGTAACCTACCGGATACAGAAAGGTGTCAGAGGTACTCCTAAGATTGTCCATGTGGATCGACTGGCGCGTTATTATGGGGCCAATAATGCTCGGGACGAGCATGTCTTAGGAGGGGGCAGTGTTACGCGCCACTATTAATGTCTTGTACATGGCAACACTAGTTACACTAGCGCCCTCTAGTGTCGAGTAAAAGAAAGTGTTGCGCGCCACTATTAACGTCTTGTACATGGCAACACTAGTTACACTAGCGCCCTCTAGTGTCGAGTAAAAGAAAGTGTTGCGCGCCACTATTAATGTCTTGTACATGGCAACACTAGTTACACTAGCGCCCTCTAGTGTCGAGTAGTTGAACTAGGAGAGTCGAGATCCTTCCAGAAATTTCGGGACCGATATGTACTCGAACATTCTAGATGTCACTACAGTGGAAGGTTCAGGAAACTGTCTGAGGCCCTATATAAGGCCGGTATAGACCACGACCGGGGCAGTATTGAATTGGCGATACAAGAGAATACTTCGAAGCGAAATAACGGCGAACTGTGTTTTATTATTAGTGTGATTTTAGATTGTAATTAGTGTTGTGTAATTAAAGTGTCAATATTGGTAATTCAATCGGCAGTTTTTAATTGTCTCGAACCCCAAGCTCGTAACAGTATTAATATTGAAGTCGGTTGTACAAAATGTTTAATTGCATTACTTGTCTCTCTTCCTCTCTTTTTAAAAAACATTACCTCCATTGCACGGGCCAAAACAAAAATTCCATGCTGATAGCAATGGTATCAAAATGGTTGACACAAAATGCACCGGAATATATTAAATTAGTTGTAATAGATTTTCCGATAGTGGGGAAAGAATTGCGAAAAAACGAGAGCATTGTAAAACCAGATGAATACATACAGGTTATGAGTGATTATTCTACGATTGTAAATGTATCATCTGAAGTCAATGAAGACTTTGGCAAGTGGCATGTGCAGTTTTCGAAATGCAAAAGATTTTATATAAATAGGTCAACCAAATGAAAACAGATCGGCTTACGAGGAGAACTATTTTACAAAAGAGATTTTGGAGAATATAAGAATATTTGCAAAAAAAGGTAAAAATACTGCAAAGATAACCCCAAACATTGTACCTCGTGGTGTGCCAGTAAAAACCTTGAAAGTTGCGAGACGTAAACAAATTGTTATGTGTACATTATGGCAACAACTGGCGAGTCTTAGATAATCTCGGGTAATTCTATCCACACCTGAAGTACCAACAGATGCCGATGATGATGTTGACGAAAATTCCCAGTAAATGTGTGAAGACCAACAAGAAATGCAAACATTAGTAATGTTAATTTTTTTTTTTTGTAAAAATTATTAACATTTGCCTTTAAGTTTGTAAGATTTTTAAATAAATTAACATCTATGACATGTTTTTAATACTGCCACTGAAGAAACTAAATGTTGATGTTGTGACCAAAATGTTTTGAGTGTAGTTAATCTGTAATATATGCATATTCATATGCTTCAAAACCTGCAATGTCTGCCAGTGTTTACAACAGAAAACGCAGTTCAATTGTGTATTTCAAAGTCAGGAAAGTCGAAATGAAATCTGTTTTTGAACATTTCTCATAATTTAAAGCAGGTTTCTTATTAATTATCGTGTCATTTGATATTTCCACTGCTATTTGCGAACATTAAGTTTATTGCCAGTGAATTATAGCTACCCGCAATAATAAAATGATGTATTGTTGCTACTTTGCAATAGCGGACATTCCTACCCAACCGAGTTGAATCCGTCGATTGATCTCTCGGTCGAAGTTGGACTTACCTAGTCGGACTATTTGTCCCAGGTAAACATACTCGTCAACAACTTCGAGCTTAGTGTTCCCAACAACTACCGGCATAGGTGTGACATGGACATTAAACATGATCTTTGTTTTGTCCATGTTTTGTTTGCTGTTGTTTTGTTGCTGTTTTTGATTCTAGTAGACTCTAAATATCAAAAGTGCCTAAATACTTATAAGAGAAAAATACATTTTTGTTAACGTAAGGCGCGCGTCAGCTCGAGCGTGCGCTTGACATCCTCACAGAATTAGCCCCGGGTAGGAGGCCGTGCAGCGTAGGCATATTATCATGCCTAAAGCGCGGAGTGAGAATGGCCTGATTTAAGTAAATACTGGGAAGGAAAACATGGACATAGAGTGATAAAATTAATACTCGTTAAGTAAATTATTTGCTTGTTTTTTCATTACAGTGTTTTCAAAATTGTTAATGAATATATTTTCTATAATATACATATAAATTACACTAAAAATTATACAAATATTTTATTCTATAAATAAAAATTAAATAAATAAAAACAATAAACAAAATATTTAGACAAGTATATGCAAAAAAATCTATTTACGTAAACAGTGTTAAAAAACTGAATTTCACTAGTACGTAGCTCGCCTAAAACGCCTTATGTTGTAATCAATTAGTTCCGCTCGATTGTAGGTATTTACATCAAGAGTGACAGAGGCTTGTCTAGGGCTCCAACTGACTTCTACTGTACAAGTACGCTGGACTGGCTATACACCGTGACATAATGAAGCTATTTGATTTTCGCCATTTTGGCGCTGATAGCAGAAGTGAGCGTAATAATAGAGATAGGACAGTGTGATAAAATATATCGATAAAAATTCTATACTCAGGTCTTCCACTCTATTTATGTATCATTTTAATATAATACTATACAGTAAATATATTTATCAATTAATATCCTATGTCTTAGATACAAGCTACGTTTTTCTTCGTAACTATAGAACGGGTTTTGATCCGGATTTCACCATTGGGTATGTATGATTCATTCGAGAGGTTAAAAAGTCCAATGAGTAGCAAAAACTGTAGTAGGTAACTACAAAATTTAAAAAAAAATATTTTTGTAAAGAATTTATTGTTAACCATTCGTTTAGCATCGTAATAAAGAAAATCAATAAATTATTTATATTCTAAATCGAATCGTCTCTCTTTCTTAAGGAAAGATTTGATTACGTCCGCGTAAAATGTTGGTGAACGTTTTAATTGTACCAATAACTGTTTATGAGGATATGAGCTGTTTTTCTCAACAAAGTTTAAAGATTTTTCCTTTTCCTCGCCGATTAGCACTTTAACACACTTCAATTCATCACAAGGAACATTATTATCCTCCATTTTCACTAAAAATCTTAAAAAAAGCATAAATTTTCAACTCACAATATTCATTCACTCAAGTAAACACACAGAGTAAACATTGAAATGTGAAGTGAAGTTGCAAACGTATCCCCCGCCCCTCCCCCCACTAACTTCACACCATAAACCCGGCTTATGACTCCATACTAATTGCTATATAAACAATCGTAGTTATATTTCATTATAAAACATTTTGCAATAGGTTAGAAAGGGAGCGATCGTCTTCTCGAAAGCCCAGTATAATGCCCACGCGTGGGAGAGAGACGGCTAATCGCTCAACTCAACTCCTTTTTACAGCAGTAAAGCAATCTGCCAAGTGTTGACGTTACATAATAAGTCTTCGAGGCCATGACCTGTGTAGAACAGAGGAGCGCGCGGGAAATTTGAAATAGTTTGAAACAGTTTAAGAGTTATTTTATTAGTTGATATTAGTGATTGAGCAGTTTGATAGGGCAAGCCCGGCTTCTCGGCTTCTATGGAGGCTTCGCTACCGTCTCAAACGTTTTGGCTTTTGAGCAAAACAACGGCCATTTGCAAATTATGTTAACATTTAGTTCTCGGTACTTTTATAGTGGCGCATCAAATCGGCTCAAACGTTTTGTAGGGTATCGCTTGTCCAGGGTGCTAGTATACAGCCTGTCCTGTACGTATTGGATAACCCCGCAGGTACTAATGGCGGGCACCTCGGCCTCGGCCACTCGGAAAAAAATAAAATAAAAAATATAGCTCCAGCAGTCTTGAAAAAAATTACTTTACAGCTACAAATTTATTAATAACCAATTGATTTTCTCTGGGAATAACCGTGAATGTTTGGCCTTGCCATCGCGCATTACAAAATATTTCTAGCCGTTACTGTTTTTTTTAAATAATTAAAAATATAAATTAGAATTTTCGATTTTACCATGACGAAGTTTCAGCACCTGTGGTTAAACCAAAACCATAGCTTTGGCAAAAAACATACCTACTTCATGCAGATTCTAAAACGATAATAAACTCAAGTTTTTTTGTTGTCAAATTACAGAGTTATTCGTGCTAGTTTTATCTATACAAATAAATAAAATTGAAGTGTCTGTTTGTAATGACAAAATAACAACTTTTGACTAAATGCATAGGAAAGTTATACGGTACTTATAACAAAAACACAATTTTTACAATTTTTGTCTGTCTGTCGGTTTGTTCCGGCTAATCTCCGAAACGGCTGGACCGATTTTGACTGGACTTTCTATGGCAAATAGCTGATGTTATAAAGAGTAACTTAGGCTACTTTTATTTTTGAAAAGAATTAGGGTTCCGCGCAAAACAATTAAAACCCATGAAATCCAATCGTAATAAATTACGTGCTGGCGAAGTCGCGGAGAACAGGTAGTATTTAATAAGTAACAACCTATATGCGTCCTGCAGCTGGGCACAGGTCTTCCTTCAAGGCATTGGGAGCAAGATGGTGTCGATTGTCTTGTCCCAAGGCGTGTTGGCATATATCACATGACCATGAAATGTTTTTTTTTTATTTCCTGCAGTTTCGATGTTTTCCTAAACCACCCAGCAATAGTAATATTGCCAGTAACAATTTTTGTGCTACCTACGGGAATTGTGTAAAGCTTGCATACGTTCTGTAAAATTTTATACTGATTATCATTAGCAAAAGTAATAATTTCAGTACTACTCGATCCTGGGCAACAACCAGTTCCTGTACATCGACCTGGTGCTGACGACGCTGCTGGCGCTGTCGCTGGGGCGCGCGGCGCCGGGCCCGGTGCTGACGCGGCGCTCGCCGCCCGTGTCGCTGGTGGCCGCGCCCAGCCTGCTGCCGCTCACGGCGCAGGTTGTGCTCGTGCTGGCGCTGCAGCTCGCCGCCGTCTACTTGCTGCACGCGCAGCCCTGGTCAGTCGCTCTGCTATACATTGAGCTGGTGCTGTGCTGACTGCTGACTGCTGACTGCTGCCCGTGTCGCTGGTGGCCGCGCCCAGCCTGCTGCCGCTCACGGCGCAGGTCGTGCTCGTGCTGGCGCTGCAGCTCGCCGCCGTCTACTTGCTGCACGCGCAGCCCTGGTCAGTCGCTCTGCTATACATTGAGCTGGTGCTGTGCTGACTGCTGACTGCTGACTGCTGCCCGTGTCGCTGGTGGCCGCGCCCAGCCTGCTGCCGCTCACGGCGCAGGTCGTGCTCGTGCTGGCGCTGCAGCTCGCCGCCGTCTACTTGCTGCACGCGCAGCCCTGGTCAGTCGCTCTGCTATACATTGAGCTGGTGCTGTGCTGACTGCTGACTGCTGACTGCTGCCCGTGTCGCTGGTGGCCGCGCCCAGCCTGCTGCCGCTCACGGCGCAGGTCGTGCTCGTGCTGGCGCTGCAGCTCGCCGCCGTCTACTTGCTGCACGCGCAGCCCTGGTCAGTCGCTCTGCTATACATTGAGCTGGTGCTGTGCTGACTGCTGACTGCTGACTGCTGCCCGTGTCGCTGGTGGCCGCGCCCAGCCTGCTGCCGCTCACGGCGCAGGTCGTGCTCGTGCTGGCGCTGCAGCTCGCCGCCGTCTACTTGCTGCACGCGCAGCCCTGGTCAGTCGCTCTGCTATACATTGAGCTGGTGCTGTGCTGACTGCTGACTGCTGACTGCTGCCCGTGTCGCTGGTGGCCGCGCCCAGCCTGCTGCCGCTCACGGCGCAGGTCGTGCTCGTGCTGGCGCTGCAGCTCGCCGCCGTCTACTTGCTGCACGCGCAGCCCTGGTCAGTCGCTCTGCTATACATTGAGCTGGTGCTGTGCTGACTGCTGACTGCTGACTGCTGCCCGTGTCGCTGGTGGCCGCGCCCAGCCTGCTGCCGCTCACGGCGCAGGTCGTGCTCGTGCTGGCGCTGCAGCTCGCCGCCGTCTACTTGCTGCACGCGCAGCCCTGGTCAGTCGCTCTGCTATACATTGAGCTGGTGCTGTGCTGACTGCTGACTGCTGACTGCTGCCCGTGTCGCTGGTGGCCGCGCCCAGCCTGCTGCCGCTCACGGCGCAGGTCGTGCTCGTGCTGGCGCTGCAGCTCGCCGCCGTCTACTTGCTGCACGCGCAGCCCTGGTCAGTCGCTCTGCTATACATTGAGCTGGTGCTGTGCTGACTGCTGACTGCTGACTGCTGCCCGTGTCGCTGGTGGCCGCGCCCAGCCTGCTGCCGCTCACGGCGCAGGTCGTGCTCGTGCTGGCGCTGCAGCTCGCCGCCGTCTACTTGCTGCACGCGCAGCCCTGGTCAGTCGCTCTGCTATACATTGAGCTGGTGCTGTGCTGACTGCTGACTGCTGACTGCTGTCCGTGTCGCTGGTGGCCGCGCCCAGCCTGCTGCCGCTCACGGCGCAGGTCGTGCTCGTGCTGGCGCTGCAGCTCGCCGCCGTCTACTTGCTGCACGCGCAGCCCTGGTCAGTCGCTCTGCTATACATTGAGCTGGTGCTGTGCTGACTGCTGACTGCTGACTGCTGCCCGTGTCGCTGGTGGCCGCGCCCAGCCTGCTGCCGCTCACGGCGCAGGTCGTGCTCGTGCTGGCGCTGCAGCTCGCCGCCGTCTACTTGCTGCACGCGCAGCCCTGGTCAGTCGCTCTGCTATACATTGAGCTGGTGCTGTGCTGACTGCTGACTGCTGACTGCTGCCCGTGTCGCTGGTGGCCGCGCCCAGCCTGCTGCCGCTCACGGCGCAGGTCGTGCTCGTGCTGGCGCTGCAGCTCGCCGCCGTCTACTTGCTGCACGCGCAGCCCTGGTCAGTCGCTCTGCTATACATTGAGCTGGTGCTGTGCTGACTGCTGACTGCTGACTGCTGCCCGTGTCGCTGGTGGCCGCGCCCAGCCTGCTGCCGCTCACGGCGCAGGTCGTGCTCGCGCTGGCGCTGCAGCTCGCCGCCGTCTACTTGCTGCACGCGCAGCCCTGGTCAGTCGCTCTGCTATACATTGAGCTGGTGCTGTGCTGACTGCTGACTGCTGACTGCTGCCCGTGTCGCTGGTGGCCGCGCCCAGCCTGCTGCCGCTCACGGCGCAGGTCGTGCTCGTGCTGGCGCTGCAGCTCGCCGCCGTCTACTTGCTGCACGCGCAGCCCTGGTCAGTCGCTCTGCTATACATTGAGCTGGTGCTGTGCTGACTGCTGACTGCTGACTGCTGCCCGTGTCGCTGGTGGCCGCGCCCAGCCTGCTGCCGCTCACGGCGCAGGTCGTGCTCGTGCTGGCGCTGCAGCTCGCCGCCGTCTACTTGCTGCACGCGCAGCCCTGGTCAGTCGCTCTGCTATACATTGAGCTGGTGCTGTGCTGACTGCTGACTGCTGACTGCTGCCCGTGTCGCTGGTGGCCGCGCCCAGCCTGCTGCCGCTCACGGCGCAGGTCGTGCTCGTGCTGGCGCTGCAGCTCGCCGCCGTCTACTTGCTGCACGCGCAGCCCTGGTCAGTCGCTCTGCTATACATTGAGCTGGTGCTGTGCTGACTGCTGACTGCTGACTGCTGCCCGTGTCGCTGGTGGCCGCGCCCAGCCTGCTGCCGCTCACGGCGCAGGTCGTGCTCGTGCTGGCGCTGCAGCTCGCCGCCGTCTACTTGCTGCACGCGCAGCCCTGGTCAGTCGCTCTGCTATACATTGAGCTGATGCTGTGCTGACTGCTGACTGCTGACTGCTGCCCGTGTCGCTGGTGGCCGCGCCCAGCCTGCTGCCGCTCACGGCGCAGGTCGTGCTCGCGCTGGCGCTGCAGCTCGCCGCCGTCTACTTGCTGCACGCGCAGCCCTGGTCAGTCGCTCTGCTATACATTGAGCTGGTGCTGTGCTGACTGCTGACTGCTGACTGCTGCCCGTGTCGCTGGTGGCCGCGCCCAGCCTGCTGCCGCTCACGGCGCAGGTCGTGCTCGTGCTGGCGCTGCAGCTCGCCGCCGTCTACTTGCTGCACGCGCAGCCCTGGTCAGTCGCTCTGCTATACATTGAGCTGGTGCTGTGCTGACTGCTGACTGCTGACTGCTGCCCGTGTCGCTGGTGGCCGCGCCCAGCCTGCTGCCGCTCACGGCGCAGGTCGTGCTCGTGCTGGCGCTGCAGCTCGCCGCCGTCTACTTGCTGCACGCGCAGCCCTGGTCAGTCGCTCTGCTATACATTGAGCTGGTGCTGTGCTGACTGCTGACTGCTGACTGCTGCCCGTGTCGCTGGTGGCCGCGCCCAGCCTGCTGCCGCTCACGGCGCAGGTCGTGCTCGTGCTGGCGCTGCAGCTCGCCGCCGTCTACTTGCTGCACGCGCAGCCCTGGTCAGTCGCTCTGCTATACATTGAGCTGGTGCTGTGCTGACTGCTGACTGCTGACTGCTGCCCGTGTCGCTGGTGGCCGCGCCCAGCCTGCTGCCGCTCACGGCGCAGGTCGTGCTCGTGCTGGCGCTGCAGCTCGCCGCCGTCTACTTGCTGCACGCGCAGCCCTGGTCAGTCGCTCTGCTATACATTGAGCTGGTGCTGTGCTGACTGCTGACTGCTGACTGCTGCCCGTGTCGCTGGTGGCCGCGCCCAGCCTGCTGCCGCTCACGGCGCAGGTCGTGCTCGTGCTGGCGCTGCAGCTCGCCGCCGTCTACTTGCTGCACGCGCAGCCCTGGTCAGTCGCTCTGCTATACATTGAGCTGGTGCTGTGCTGACTGCTGACTGCTGACTGCTGCCCGTGTCGCTGGTGGCCGCGCCCAGCCTGCTGCCGCTCACGGCGCAGGTCGTGCTCGTGCTGGCGCTGCAGCTCGCCGCCGTCTACTTGCTGCACGCGCAGCCCTGGTCAGTCTCTCTGCTATACATTGAGCTGGTGCTGTGCTGACTGCTGACTGCTGCCCGTGTCGCTGGTGGCCGCGCCCAGCCTGCTGCCGCTCACGGCGCAGGTCGTGCTCGTGCTGGCGCTGCAGCTCGCCGCCGTCTACTTGCTGCACGCGCAGCCCTGGTCAGTCGCTCTGCTATACATTGAGCTGGTGCTGTGCTGACTGCTGACTGCTGACTGCTGCCCGTGTCGCTGGTGGCCGCGCCCAGCCTGCTGCCGCTCACGGCGCAGGTCGTGCTCGTGCTGGCGCTGCAGCTCGCCGCCGTCTACTTGCTGCACGCGCAGCCCTGGTCAGTCGCTCTGCTATACATTGAGCTGGTGCTGTGCTGACTGCTGACTGCTGACTGCTGCCCGTGTCGCTGGTGGCCGCGCCCAGCCTGCTGCCGCTCACGGCGCAGGTCGTGCTCGTGCTGGCGCTGCAGCTCGCCGCCGTCTACTTGCTGCACGCGCAGCCCTGGTCAGTCGCTCTGCTATACATTGAGCTGGTGCTGTGCTGACTGCTGACTGCTGACTGCTGCCCGTGTCGCTGGTGGCCGCGCCCAGCCTGCTGCCGCTCACGGCGCAGGTCGTGCTCGTGCTGGCGCTGCAGCTCGCCGCCGTCTACTTGCTGCACGCGCAGCCCTGGTCAGTCGCTCTGCTATACATTGAGCTGGTGCTGTGCTGACTGCTGACTGCTGACTGCTGCCCGTGTCGCTGGTGGCCGCGCCCAGCCTGCTGCCGCTCACGGCGCAGGTCGTGCTCGTGCTGGCGCTGCAGCTCGCCGCCGTCTACTTGCTGCACGCGCAGCCCTGGTCAGTCGCTCTGCTATACATTGAGCTGGTGCTGTGCTGACTGCTGACTGCTGCCCGTGTCGCTGGTGGCCGCGCCCAGCCTGCTGCCGCTCACGGCGCAGGTCGTGCTCGTGCTGGCGCTGCAGCTCGCCGCCGTCTACTTGCTGCACGCGCAGCCCTGGTCAGTCGCTCTGCTATACATTGAGCTGGTGCTGTGCTGACTGCTGACTGCTGCCCGTGTCGCTGGTGGCCGCGCCCAGCCTGCTGCCGCTCACGGCGCAGGTCGTGCTCGTGCTGGCGCTGCAGCTCGCCGCCGTCTACTTGCTGCACGCGCAGCCCTGGTCAGTCGCTCTGCTATACATTGAGCTGATGCTGTGCTGACTGCTGACTGCTGACTGCTGCCCGTGTCGCTGGTGGCCGCGCCCAGCCTGCTGCCGCTCACGGCGCAGGTCGTGCTCGTGCTGGCGCTGCAGCTCGCCGCCGTCTACTTGCTGCACGCGCAGCCCTGGTCAGTCGCTCTGCTATACATTGAGCTGGTGCTGTGCTGACTGCTGACTGCTGCCCGTGTCGCTGGTGGCCGCGCCCAGCCTGCTGCCGCTCACGGCGCAGGTCGTGCTCGTGCTGGCGCTGCAGCTCGCCGCCGTCTACTTGCTGCACGCGCAGCCCTGGTCAGTCGCTCTGCTATACATTGAGCTGGTGCTGTGCTGACTGCTGACTGCTGACTGCTGCCCGTGTCGCTGGTGGCCGCGCCCAGCCTGCTGCCGCTCACGGCGCAGGTCGTGCTCGTGCTGGCGCTGCAGCTCGCCGCCGTCTACTTGCTGCACGCGCAGCCCTGGTCAGTCGCTCTGCTATACATTGAGCTGGTGCTGTGCTGACTGCTGACTGCTGACTGCTGCCCGTGTCGCTGGTGGCCGCGCCCAGCCTGCTGCCGCTCACGGCGCAGGTCGTGCTCGTGCTGGCGCTGCAGCTCGCCGCCGTCTACTTGCTGCACGCGCAGCCCTGGTCAGTCGCTCTGCTATACATTGAGCTGGTGCTGTGCTGACTGCTGACTGCTGACTGCTGCCCGTGTCGCTGGTGGCCGCGCCCAGCCTGCTGCCGCTCACGGCGCAGGTCGTGCTCGTGCTGGCGCTGCAGCTCGCCGCCGTCTACTTGCTGCACGCGCAGCCCTGGTCAGTCGCTCTGCTATACATTGAGCTGGTGCTGTGCTGACTGCTGACTGCTGACTGCTGCCCGTGTCGCTGGTGGCCGCGCCCAGCCTGCTGCCGCTCACGGCGCAGGTCGTGCTCGTGCTGGCGCTGCAGCTCGCCGCCGTCTACTTGCTGCACGCGCAGCCCTGGTCAGTCGCTCTGCTATACATTGAGCTGGTGCTGTGCTGACTGCTGACTGCTGACTGCTGCCCGTGTCGCTGGTGGCCGCGCCCAGCCTGCTGCCGCTCACGGCGCAGGTCGTGCTCGTGCTGGCGCTGCAGCTCGCCGCCGTCTACTTGCTGCACGCGCAGCCCTGGTCAGTCGCTCTGCTATACATTGAGCTGGTGCTGTGCTGACTGCTGACTGCTGACTGCTGCCCGTGTCGCTGGTGGCCGCGCCCAGCCTGCTGCCGCTCACGGCGCAGGTCGTGCTCGTGCTGGCGCTGCAGCTCGCCGCCGTCTACTTGCTGCACGCGCAGCCCTGGTCAGTCGCTCTGCTATACATTGAGCTGGTGCTGTGCTGACTGCTGACTGCTGACTGCTGCCCGTGTCGCTGGTGGCCGCGCCCAGCCTGCTGCCGCTCACGGCGCAGGTCGTGCTCGTGCTGGCGCTGCAGCTCGCCGCCGTCTACTTGCTGCACGCGCAGCCCTGGTCAGTCGCTCTGCTATACATTGAGCTGGTGCTGTGCTGACTGCTGACTGCTGACTGCTGCCCGTGTCGCTGGTGGCCGCGCCCAGCCTGCTGCCGCTCACGGCGCAGGTCGTGCTCGTGCTGGCGCTGCAGCTCGCCGCCGTCTACTTGCTGCACGCGCAGCCCTGGTCAGTCGCTCTGCTATACATTGAGCTGGTGCTGTGCTGACTGCTGACTGCTGCCCGTGTCGCTGGTGGCCGCGCCCAGCCTGCTGCCGCTCACGGCGCAGGTCGTGCTCGTGCTGGCGCTGCAGCTCGCCGCCGTCTACTTGCTGCACGCGCAGCCCTGGTCACTTGCTCACCTACAATATTACCCACACGGCCATTCACTTGGAAAATTTGATTTTTATTAGAAATCAGAAGCCGTCTTGAAAGAATTAAAAAGATTTTTTAATGTACAATAAGGGTGACAAACGAGCAAACAGTCCACCTGACAGTAAGATGCGGTGGCCTATAGATATCTACATTTATCCTCGATGAAGAGTCAAAATGCAGATGTGTTGTCACCCCTAAGGACTTACATGGAATGCCTTGTTTCCTGTAAAAAGTATCCGGTTCTCTCACTACACTCACCACACGAAACAACAACATTAAGCTGCTATTTTACTCTGGTATTCTGTGAGAGCGTGGTCTTGCCACGATGGAGCCCACCTATTCGTGCTATAACCATAATATGAAAACACCTTGACTATTATACCACGTACAAAATAAAATAATAAATACAAAAATTATTTCCACGTAAAAGCTGAAAGTAAGCTGAACTCTGCTTTTAGTTTTTATTAAAAGTTTTTTTTACCCTATTAAGGAATATCGTAAACTTGGATTTAATCATTATATTTTTTTATATTTCCACTATTAGGGGTGAAATTATTTCTCCAAAATTAAAAAATGGATGACACCTGAATTATCACCTATTTAAATAATTTAAAATTAAAAATTTTGTACAACCAACTTCAATATAAATTATTAAGTATAACTCATAAACAAATTTATATGGGTCCACATGAAAAGCACCAGCTTTCAAATAAAAAAGGATCATCGAAATCGGTTCAACCACAAAAAAGTTATGAGGTAACACACATAAAAAATGCAAAAAAAAAAAACATATAGTCCAATTGAGTTCCTCCTCCTTTTTGAAGTCGGTAGAGAAAAGAATGAATCGTTTTACAATGAAAATATCGTGTAACAGATATACAAAAAAGTAAAATAAAACATACAGTCCCATTAAAAACCACCTCCTTTTTATAAGTCTGCTAAGAAGGAGTCCTGTCACTAAGTAAAAGTTGCCCTGTTATTTATAGATGCACTTCTGCACTCGTGACGATTTGCGCCTTTTCGTGATTTGTGTTTGTGTCTTCGTGTACTCGCTGCACTCGTGGCCGTGATAAATTATTCACCTGTGTACTTATTGCACTTGTAAGCCCTAATTGCTATGCGAGCACGTTGCTGACGCAGTAGTCATTCCCTGTGCCAGCGTTTTCGAATATTACTTTGTATTTTTTATTATAATTTCACAATAAGAGTGTGAAAAATATATAAAAACACATGATAATAAGTGGCTACTGTACCTCATGGTTACCTGCTTTTAGCTTCGAAGAATGAAGATTACAGTTGCATAGATACTTCTGAGGACTCTGCTATACATTGACTCCATATGATAGCACTGGTTTCTAGATTGCTTCGTACTAAAGCATTCAAGACTTCACGGCGGCAGTGTTAAGGAAGTCATGCGTTTCACGCATTATGAAGCCCAGATTTTTAAAGGCCTTTTTACACACCTGTACAATATGAGTACGAAACGTCACGTCCTCGGTAAATAAGACGCCAAGATCACGTATACAGACAACGCGGTTGATGACATCCCCTTCCATGAGGTAGTTGAAATGTATCGGGGTTCTCGAGCGTGTGAAAGACATCACATTGCATTTTGATATATTAAACAGCAATTTATTCTCCGGACTCCACTCCACCACCCGATCAATATCGTATTGTAAGCGGTCGCAATCCCCGTCGGAAGTAATCCTCAGGAATAATTTGAAATCATCCGCAAAGAGTAAGCAACCCTCGCCTCTCACCACCTCTGGAAGGTAAATGACCTTATCATAATGAAGAAAGTATAACGGACCCAAATTACTCCCTTGACCGACCTGTAATGCCTCACAGCCTGTTATTGTAATGTCTGTTCTGATCTTTCCGACATTTCGCAAAATCCCTCCTTACGACACTATAAGACAAAACAAAATAATGGATTCCCGTGCGACGCAACAACAAATAAATAATCCTTAGTATGCCTTAAATCAATTTACTAATAGTGCTAATGTTTCTAGGCATATACCAGTGGAAGGAGGACCCGACGTGGAACAAGTGCTTTGTTGGGAAAACACAGTCATATTTATCATTTCTTCATTCCAATATTTGATAATGGCGTGCGTGTATGCTAAGGGCTGGCCATTCCGTCAGCCTTTCTGTACCAATTGTACGTATAGTTTTATTGTTATTTACTTAATCCTTGTCAATAGTTTTATTTATTTTAAATTGATGGAGTACACATGTGTATAAAACATTTTTTGTCTCTGTTATATTTTGGAGTAAAAAAAACCGGAAAAGCGTATTTTAGTTGCGTACCTACGTCACACTTGTCAATACGAGAATCGACAACGCAGTACCAACTAATTCTCACCTCCAACTGTGCTTAATCGTCGCTGGTCTAAGAAATTAACTGTCTGACGATATTGAGATGTTTGTTTCAATATCTGTCAAATGACACAAGATTTTTTTGGGATTTCCTTTTATTGACTTTGAGGACATATTAATTAAGGAATAAAATGTGCTATATTCTTTAAAGACACAGTAACGTATTAACGTAAAAATACATCCAAACAAGTATCCAGTGTAATGATATTAGGAGGTAATACGCATAAAAAGTGCATGATGACTCCGCCTCAAGTATGTTCGAGGAGTGTTGATAAAAAAGGCAGGGTTTCCTAAACTAATTGCAAATTGTGGCCCGCTAATTATTTTTGCTGATAGATAGATTTGTCTCGCGCTTGACAATAGCTGCGAGCCTCGTACCACAAAACCCTGTAATTGCAGCGGTGAGCGACGCTCGTCACACAGATTGCTATACTGAAGCGACAGTCGCTATTTCGAGACGTTTTCATCTCAATCATCAAACACTCCTTTAGTACATGCTAGAAGCCCTAGTCTCTCCAATACGGCAAAATATTCCAGTCTTGCAATTCTTAAACACTGGGACCTGTAGCCCTTGGTTCCAGCTTTTAAATAAATATTGTTTACTCCCATGGTAATCGGACAACAACACAATGAAATTGACAAGTGACTATTTTTTTTTTCAGATTATATGGTAATAACATTAGTAACACAATCTGTATTTGTGATTGTACTCATACTGGCCCCATGGACGTGGTTGGCCAATATAATGGAGGTCGAAGTCATGAATATGGCGGAGACAGAACAGAATTATTTCCGCATTTATTTACTGGTCATACCAATACTTCATTTGTTGCTGGCTATTGCTATTGAGGTACGTGCACAGTTTATATGCTATAAAAATTTAAACGTTTTACTATATTTTAAAAATACACCTATTATTTAACACATTAAAAATAAAGAAATATTTGATGATCTTTACATGTGTATTTTGCTACGTAACAAAGGATATCGTTATCAAGCAATGTATAGATTTGTACAAAATAAATATTTGTAATAATTATAAAAGAAAAACCTCTTTTGTTTTCCCCTTTATAGCGATAATTGTGTCTATACCTTTGACACAAATGATGTAATGCTAATATACCAAAAAAAATATAGGCTTAATTTAATTAATTTTCTTTTTATTTATATACTATATATTACTGGATTTAAAATCTTATCATCCCAGTTTCATTCCGTTTTTCTTTTTAAATATCTCTTAGTTATTTGTTAGCTTTCGACATTATTTGGAAGTTGTTGTCATGGTCCATATGCCGGGAGAATAATATAATAAAATACACTATAGTGCCGTGACACGGTGGTTTAAAAAAAAAAGAAATAAAATAATGTTCACGGTTACAGGCAACACTATCCGAAGCGGAGAGGTTCGGTTCATTCTTTCGTGTGATGCGACGAAGATGTTCCGACAAGGATGAAGCGGTGGCCGACGCCTCATGTCCTCTTTGGGTTCCGCACTCACCGTCTAACGTATGCTGACAACTTGGGCCCCGTTATATAACCATTGCCCCAGTATCATGGACCTTATCGTGACAATTATTTAAATTTATATGATTTTAAACAGTAATGTATAAAAAATATTCGTACTTGTCGAAGCGCAAGGAAGCCAGTTTCAAACCGAAAAAATGTATGAAATCAAATAAGTTTACGTGAGTTTAAATAATGCTCTCGGAAATGGCTTTAGGCTGTCGTCTCTAACCCTTAATGTGACCTCGAATCGTTTTTTTTAATAGGCAACCCGCATTGTTTGTTTGTTTTTGGCCATGACTTTCGTTTTTCTTAATGTTTAATATGCAAATAATTTAGCAACTTTTAAGCATTTCCCAGTAATAGTTATGTGGCTACAGTTTTGTATAGAATGCGAATAAACTTATTGCTCGCACATTGTCGCTGTATGTTGCGATATGCGTTTTTCGTACGTTCTATAACTTAAGTCCAACTTGTCATAGTAATCAATGATAACAAAATGGCATTGGTTTTGTTTTGTAATATTTTGTATAATATATTTACATGCCATTGAGACATGAGTATCTTTTAAAATTTTCGTTTGTCTGTCTGTCAGTCTGAGCTAGTCTTCGGAATGACTGAACCGATTGTACAACATTTTGTTCTCTTGTAGCAATCGTAATTTAATAGTTTGTGCATAGTTTCCCACATATCACAGAAATTGAAGAACACTTCCACCAAAATCAACTTTTGGAAACTATCAGTTTTTTTTTTAAATGACGAATAGAATATTGATAGAATAAATTATAAAATTTAATATTGTATAATAATTAATTGAGATAGTTACAGGATTATTTCAAGCTAGTGGGATAAGACTTTAATTACAACATACATTAGAATATGTTACGTGATTTTTACAAAATTATAGAAAAACTATATTCTTAACCTAAAAAACTACATTTTTGTGTCATCAGTCGTGTGCCAAGCTACTGCCACTTTTATTGACAAAATACTCGAATGTGTACTTACAAATTCTATATTATTTGGTTGTAATCTTTATACTTAAAACATTGTTTTTTTTTTGTGAAATAGATAAATTGTTATAAGCAGTGCAACCATACAACGTTAGGTTAGTTCTTCTTTAATATTTTTATTAAAGATTTCATAAGCAGGTAACCGAGTACCGGGTTTTTAATTATAAAAAAATATTTTTTGATGTCATATTTATGACCTTATTTGTATATTTCTTTAAGAGTATCCTGCTTTTGTATAGGGAATGCGACACTGATTGATGGAATACAGTAATAGATAATTTATATTATTTTAGTCTTATAATTTATGTACTTATAGTTCCTTTTTTAATTCGATTACACCTATGTTTATTTTCAAAAAAATTACGCTAAAATGCCAGTCACATTTTTTCAATAAGCCTAAGTTATTACTGCTACTAAGTACTCACTAGTTTAAATTAAAAAAAAATATTCTGTTTAATAATATTCTGTAATAAAAACAATATTAAAAAAATTTCACGCATCTTAGTTATAATAAATTATCTCTGGTATATAAAACGTGGACCACACATATTGTATTTTCGTTGGTATCAGAGACAATAAAGTTAAAACATACTTATACCTATGTACTTACAGTTATTTTTATTTATTACTTTTGTATCGCACACAAATTTGATTTTCACTTTACATCTTTTTTATCTACTAACCTAATATCGATGAATATATTTTTAATAATTATTTTAACTAACAAGGCGAACTAAATACCTTGTGACATTGTCTACGAGTCAACGCATTGAGGCAAATTAAAATGTCGCTGGTACAACACTTCTTGAAAAAAATTAATAAAGTTTTTTTTTATTTCATTATTAGTATTTATTATTAATTCTTTTCAACTATAGCAGAGGCTTATTTCTAGTAATTATTTAATATAAACTTTACTGGCTGATAATGTAACCATGATTGTATGCTTTTGTCCTACTACAATTTCATTATTCACTGTACTAACATTATATTTAAATCAAAACTAAAGATTGTTAGAACTATGCAATACTACTACTAATTTATCAATCAGAAATCTTAGTTTTTATCGTACGGTAAGTGTATTTTTACGACTTAATTATTGTCAGCTAACAACTTACATAGTTATGACTTTCCGTTTGTTAAAGTCGTGCTTTTATTTCCCTATAAAATATTAGAAAATGTTATAATTTGTAAATAGGAGCAGTAAATTAAGTTAATTTTCATATAATTGGGATTATTTATTTGTAAATATCCACTACATGTACTTCATTTACAGTACTTACTTATTATTTTACCATCATTAAATAATGTTATTCACTTAGTTGAGATACATACTTATGTATTTTAAACTATTTATTTATATAATATTCTACAAAACAGGTTTCCAGAGTTTTAGAAAAACTCTTGAAGTGTAGTTTTATATGTATGTAAGAGAATAGAATGTTTTTTTTCTATTCTATTATATATTTAGAATAGAATAGAATATTTTATTTATATTATAAATAATAATTCTTATTGAAAGTAATTTTGTTAAGTATCTTTTTAGAGTTGTATAATGTCTACGTTCCTGCAGTTAGTGCTCGTGTTTGAAAGCAATAAGGAACATAGGCTAAAATAAAATTTATTACGTACATAAATCAATTTCATTTAACATTTCAACAGCTAAATATGTCTTCTATTTAGTTACATGTAATCGAAATATTCCTTAACTACCAAGTTCCAAACTTACACTGCCTTCTGTCATGTTAGTATTTACGCTTAAACCCAAGTTTGCTATTTTAAATCAAAGAGATTTAAATATATAGGTATACTAACTACTACTTAAATGTCTTTGTTTGAAATCAAATGTCATTTTCTAGGAGGTTTTCTTCTTCTTCTTTTAAATTATGGCTTCTCTTGATAGAATTCTGCCAGTGTCAAGTCAGTCATGGGAGTGACAAGTAATCTATAGGTAAAAATATTAAAAGTCACATATACATATCGTCTATCGTTCATTCGACGTTATTACGTGATCTTAAAAAAAAATACAAAATTATAATATTATACTATTGAGGCTCCGCGACACTCTTCAAACTTTCACACCTGAAGAGTAATACGGTACTGCATAGGTCATTTAGCCTTTCATTTCAATGAAATATTCCGAATGAAAGCGGAAGGTTTACAGTCTAATTCTTCGCTCATTAGCATTATGCCTCCCGGATTAAAGACAATCTGCCTTCCTTATAAAATTCGAAGTCATTTTAAGAAGTGCTTAAAGTTACTCTTTTTCTTTTCGAATAAATGACAATAGAGAGAGACAGGTATAGAGAATGCCGAATATAATTACTACTTCTATATTCACACACAGACACGACAAAACGAAAATAAAGTGTAAGATATTAAATGATCAATTAATGAATCCCGTTAATTGCTCTTTCTTTCCATTAACTATTTACTTAGCTTTAATCGCGGCGGGCGCTTACTTCTACAAAAACCCTTTAAAAATTAAAAAGACCTATGTCTAGTAGTGGAACGTATAAAGGCTCTTAGTTTTACTTTTCGTGAACATCTTTCCGATTTTGATACGTTATGGATGAAATGTAACGTATTATTTTACGTGAGTGAACGCAAACAAACAGTCGCCGTAAATTGATTATTAGGAATGAAACGTCTGATATCAATTGTATTGGCGTAAACATTCCAATATAGTGACAAATGTTTTTGTGTTAAAAGGGTTACATACTCGTAATCGTAAAGTCATTTATACTTAGAGAATGAAGCGTGCAAGTTCTTGTAATGACAATTACTTACCCTAATGACGAAACAAGAATGACGACTAATTGGTGCAAAATACTGTTTTTTTTTCTTATTGTTCAATAATTTTACCAGATATAATAGGCAAGTTAGCCCTGCTGTGAATGTGGCATAGTTAAAATTGATATAATAGGTAGAAAGTCAGCCAAGCAAATGTAAACCGTTTTCACATTACAAAGTCCTCTAGTTACAGGCAGGTAACGTTTTTATATTTTAAAAAAGAAAAAGTTTTAACCTACTAAATTGGATCACTAAAACCAACATTATAGTTTCCTAAAGATGTAACTAAAAAAACCACCTTATCGATTTTTTATGACAATTTATTACAAATTATAATACTTCATTGCCAATTTCATATTTAACAAATTTTCTTTAATTCCTGGCATTCGATTAAGGGAATTGATTAAACACAATTGTTCCCTAGCGTCATTAAACGGTTGCATTCCACATAATAGCAGACTTGAAGACACGTATACATTGTACAACTTATCAACAAGTTATTTTATAAGATATGCTATGATTCTTAGCCCAGTAGGATAATCTAGTATTATGAAGGCTATGCACCATTCCTAATGAGTTAGTACTTAGATTTTGTTGCTTTTGAATAAGGTTCTTGTGGTAGCCATCGAAATTCATAGAATGCGCACATACCCGATTTATAAAGCATTCTTTTAAGCTTGTTATTGATTGAACTGCATTATTATGATCTTTTTGAATCCTTGTTGTATGATTAGACTGCTCGAATATTTTGGAACTTGTTGACTGTTTTGTGTCCAAATTATATCATGGTAATGTAGTTCGATTTCAGGATTATTTGCAACATTTTTAGATGGATGTGACCAAATAAAAATAATTATTAAAATATTTGTTTTATTTAAAATTTCACAATTAAAGTCAATTTAATCTACTCGTCGGGCATAATGTCGCCATTTAATTACTTACGACTGTTCTCTGCAAAATCTAGTGCCAAAGCTCAAGTGAGTGAACCATAGAACACTATCTACTCGCTCCCTCGCTTAACTTCGACGAGAGTGTAGTGTTAGGGTAATAAATTAGATATTACTGCTGAATTATTGAAAAAGAATAATATTTTTATGACACATCATCAGCAAATGAAATGCTAAGTCTAATATAACATATAATAATTTAAGTCCGGTCTTCAGCCGGCATCCCGGCAATAAAACAACTCAATAGATTTTAATAAGTACGCTTTATTTCCTCTAATTTAAATATTTATTCAATTTTACAACGTTTGCCCTCACCGCTGAGCTCGTGCTTTATTAACACTTAAAAACTTAAAATTGCAATTAATAATTTCATTGGTACCTGCGGGGATGTTGCTTGCGTATGAAATTCACAGCGAGCGCTTTATACCTGAGCTATAACAGATTCACAAATCAAGAGCTAAGCGTCACACGCAGTACAACTCAAATCGTAAACCTACTGATCAGATAAGCACAGTTAATATTACGAATCACGGTAGATAATCTGTGTATCCTGGAGGTGGAGAATATAGTGGAGGCTGCACATATTTCACATTTAGTTTAATCGGTTCAACTTCTTGAGACTCTGGAGGTTGTTTCCACCTTAAAATAATAAAAAGTTTTGCATGAATAAGAAAAATATTAAAACAGTTTTTTTCTATGATTTTTAATTTTTGATTGCATTTTAGGCGTATTACGTAAGAATGACGCCATATTTGTATGCACAAACAAGTGAAGGGACTACACTATGGATGTGTGAGTTAGATTTTGAAAATTAAAACTTAATGCATAGAAAGTAAAAGCAGACTTCAAATAACAAAATAATTTCCACATAAAAGCTATAGTAATCTGTGCTAATTAAAGCTCCGACTTCATACAGCTGTTATGTGAACATTATTTTGTTCTTTTCATCGATCACTAATAAACAAACTAGATAGATCCTGTAATAAATAAATTAAAATAAAATAAGTACTAAGTAAGTATTTTGACGTAATTCTAGTTGAAATAAATATACATTAATGTAAATTAAACCTTAAATGCATTGCCTAAAGTTGTATTCACAAAGCTACGTACAAATTAAAATCGTACCCAAATTTTCGAGTGGGCGCTCATTCGGTAAGGACATTATTTGTCACTGATTGTGTATCTAGTTTTTTTATTAGTGATCGATGAATAAAAAGTAAAAGCAGACTTCAAAGAAACAAAAGAACCATCGATCACTAATTAGAAGTTTAATTTTTTGATCCTTTTGAGTGGACTAAGGGTTGATGAGATGTGTTTTATATAAAAGAATATGTTCTTACCAAGGTACAAGGCTAAGGTTGTAAGGTGGTTTCGGTCGCGATAATCTTTCGGCGCGCTCGCGACGTAACATATCAGCATCCCTCCAAACCGAGCAACACGCTCGTAAAGTGAAATAGTACACTAGCTCCACTCCAGACAAAAGTGAAAATCCGAGGAAGAGTCCCGCAATACCACCGAAGGATACTGCGAAGTAATACAATTTATTTGAGTTTTTCCCCTTTCAATTAGAAGGAACTGCATGAAGCATCCAAATGTATACCTACATAAATCGAAAATTACGAGACCTACAACATCCTGACCTGGTGAGATAAAGTATCAAAGTGCTATTGTCCCCCCGAACGGGATCCGGTCTTGTCGTGGCTTGGTCACCCGCGGTAAACAAAGAGGAACCCACTTGGCTGGCTCGACGTAAAGGGCCGGCCCGAGGTGACCGCTCCGAGTGGCTTTGCCTAGGCCCCAGCATGCCAGTGAGCATTGATGGACTGTGGAGGGAGGGGTGTCCTCTCCACCTTCTCTTCGCAGCCAAGGCGGAGTCGTGGAGGTAGAGGAGTGTTGGTATGGCGATGCGCCACTCGCCCTATCCTCCGCGACTCTGACGGGGCCGCACTATTGATGCGGTGGTGGTGGGACTACGGGGAGAGAAGAGTGACGGTATTCGCTCCGGTTCCCGGTTATCCGGTTAGCGGCGGAGCCATAGACCAGATCCGCCGCCGGTGTCAAGTCAAGAATCCTAGTGCTTCTGAGTGCTCGTTTTTCCTAGCCCATTGCCCTCGCACATCGGACACGGGGGCGTTCGTTGTGCTGGCGAAGTTGGAGGCCGTGGAGGAAGGCACACCAGAACACATGGTGACCTGTACGGTACCTAAAAAGGAGATGGGGAGAAGCAATCCTTTCCCGAGGAGGGGCAGCCGGCGGTGGTGGGACCGCAGATTTGAGTAAAGGCAGCTCTGCCAATATACGACGAAGGTAGAACACCATGGGGTTTTAGACCGTGCGAGCCCGTTCTTGTCCCCGCGAGGCGAAGCAGTGCCTTCTAAAGTTACAAGCGGTATACCGGTATGAAATATTGTCTCGCTTTGCTGAACACGCCAAGCTTTAGGTCAATTTAGCCTACGCTTCCGAGTGACTGCGGAACTAAACGCCATTCGATATGTGGACGCCAAGGATTTGTTTTTTGGATTGTGGATGTTTGGGGAAGAGCATACATGTGGTATCCGCAACTAAGCCATTCAGCGTGATGGGTGTTAAAATCGCCATAGAACACGGTCTCTGCGGATGGGATTTGATTTAGCACTGAGTCTGTAGCCATTTGGACGTGGTCAATGAGTCGGTCTGTGTCGGCATTACCGCTGGGACCTATAGAGGCAACCTTAGACGCGGGCGTGGTCGTTGCTGTCTACGCGCAGCCAAAGGATGGAAAGGTCCGTACCTGCAAGACAGCCGAGGCGTCGAGAATAGATATTCTCCCTGACGTATCAAAAAAACATTGGCAACCCATTGTTAGCTCCATAAACTTGACCGCATCTAGCGAGGAGTGGCTCGAATCGACGACTGAGTTCTTTCTGATCGACCATATTGCGAGGCTCTCTATTATTAGAGAGCAGGCTTAAAGATATTTAAGAGAGGCGAATTAGTAACATTTGTTTGTTCATTCAGCAATGCAACGGTACTATTATTACTTTTTAATATCTCTAACTGTTCCAGCACACACAGCCGCAGCCCTTTATTACACGTATGTAAGACTTTAAAGGAGTGGTCGTTGGCTAGGTTGTGTCCAGTGTCCAAAAGATGTTTGGCAAAATGGGATTTATCGGGATTGCAATTCCTGTACGCGGCTAAATGGAATTTGGTCAATATGGTCGTTTGTCACCCTCACGGTGATCGGCGATTGGTTACGTGGTTGGAGGGTGGGCGTTGCGCGGCGGTTTGTTTTTAATTTTACAAACGGCTGCGTAAGTCCAGCGGTGATTGGTCGCATGTTTTATCGCATGACGCAGACGCTCGCTCCTTAAGTAGAGAGCGGTTGCGTCATCGGCCTGTATAAAAGGCACTTGTTTTGGCTCGCCGCTCACTTAGCGGTTAGCCACCGTAGAGTCTATATCACCTGAGGATGCCTCGTGTAGAGGCGAAACACGTGTCGTATTATCGTCAGTGGTGTGTCTCGCCTAGTGTAGTGGTGTTGGGAGTAGCGGTGCTGGGATTAGTGGTGACGGGGATAGTGCACGCAATTGAGGGAGGGCGGGAGGTGCTCTACATACTAGGTAAGAAACATCATTTTATTTTATAACGCGGATATTTGCGAAGTAAATTTTTCTAAAAGCTTTTATAGATGTAGATGTCTATGGGCCACAGCAACCACTTACCATCAGCTGGAATGTGTGCTCGTTTGTCACCCTTATTCTATATAAAAAAAACCACAGGGAGTAGTTAGAGCATAAGCAATCGTTCGCATTAATTTCAACCGCCAAATTCCATCAACACACTTCGCAAATAATTTCTGATACCATCCACACCATCTGAATGCATGGCGGTTCACCACTGTGCGATGTACTAGGAATTTTATTCTTAGCACACCTTTTTTGTTTAATCGTTTAAATTCCAATCCATAGGCCGGCATCGCAACTGCGAATCCACTGGTGTTACAGCTGTTCATGTGTGGCTATCGACTCTTACCATCAGGTGAGTCACATGCTCGTTTGCCCCCTCTTCTATAAAAAATGAACAATCACGTAGCTTACCCAATAAATCAACCCAACCGAACAGCACTTCACGCTTATAACGCACCATAGGCCACGATACAAATTCAGTCTCCAATGAGTCAGAGGCTGTAGGTTCTTTGCTTGGGCTAAAGAAATAATTGAATTATGATTTTGATTATCAAAAAAATTACCGTATGTGTATTACATTAAACAATATTTACTCAATCTCAGTAAGTTTTTCCACTTCGTACACTGTGTGCGAACAACCAAGCTCACAGGAGCATTGCGTCACGTCCGTAATCTCTGCTGCATACTTCGCAATGCATTGTAATTCGGCTACTGTACATTGTCTATAGCCTTCTATAAGAAAGGAAATTTATTTATTTATGTAATGAAACATACCCATAAACAAACTGTAAATAATGCAGCCGAGTGGCATAATAGAATTAATTTAATATTTCAAGGATTATGTAGTTAGATCAATGCATTTAAGTTTAAGAAAACTTTCAAATTCCAATTTCAGCTTATTTCGACGTTAGGTAGTTGTTGAAAACTAAATTACAAATACGCTAATATAGTTCAGCTACAGAATAAATAATAGTACTACATAGTTCAGCTGTGATCTTTGATGGTGCATAATGATGTGGTGTAAGGATATATAAATGTATGGGTGGGATGTAAGAGATAACCACGAAGAGCCGAATCAAAAAAAATGCTTCAATTCGCTTTTCATGCAACGGAACCGAATCAAAAGAAAATAGCTTCAATTTGGTTTCCATCTTTGTTAAAAACAGCTACAATGAAGTCAATAATGACAAACATTAAGTCAATAACAGGTAAATTCATATTGAATTTTGATTCTCATGAGAAGATGCATATCGCGATTTAAGCGTGGAAAACAGACGTACTTGTCTTTGGATAGAAATGCGGCACACATTTGCAGTAAGAGCGGCTCCTTCGCATACGGCACTGTCGCATGCACGCTGAATAAGTATAAATGGAGGATGTTTCTAAATGCACCTCGTCGGTAAAAATACATCGACGTTGTCGAATCGACAATTGCCTTGCGTCTGCCGTTGTGTACGTGTGCTTAACTGAGAATGAAAGTTTCTCTACACGATGGTCCCATGAAAGTTGGGCGCTTTGCTCTAATCCCGCCATTTCTTCTGTTGAATGAATGTAGATCTGAAATTCATTAAGGTAATATTTCGTATCAATACATTTTTTTAAAATGCTTCTTTTGCTTTCATCTAGTTATTGTCGTTTTTAATTAGAAAATAATAAAAAGTTAAATAAAGTTACAGTCTGTATATGTCCCACTTCTGGGTACAGATCTCCTCTAATTTCTACGAGGGTTATAATATTAAGTAAATTAACACTAATTATATTTAGTAATAATATTTCGAAAAAAAATAAAAAATAATGTCTTATTATGTTAATAACCAAATAAAACATAGTATATGGTACTATTTTACGGTCTAGTCAGGGGAGGGACTAACGGGTACACGTTGGCCGAACGCACTCGGAGAGTGCGTTCGGCCAACGTGTACTGCTACCTTTATGTGTTTGCGCATGTTAACTATTAGTGGAAACAATAAAACAAATGCGCCTATGGCGGTGTGAACCTCAAGGTTCACATCGTGATGATGTGGACCTCAAGTATGCTTTAGCGCTTTACGATACTTTCATCGTCGAGTGTCTGCTGGCTCAAGCTGCCATCAAAATCTTCCAAAAACTTCACAATATATTACTTAATAATCATTTATTATAATTTTCTTTAATCAATTCATTTCAACAAATTATAATTAATGGATAATTTGTTACTTAACAGTTGCAAAACTAGTGTTATAACCATACTACAAGTACATCTAAAAAAAGAAAAACGCGATGAAATCCGTAATATTAGTTTTTTATAAAACAAATTTAGGACAAAAATGTCTAAATTGTTATGAGTTTTATTTCAATAATTTCCTCATTACTAAGTTCTCAATCATATTTGAATATAAACTAATCAAAACTTTAAGAGGCTAGAGGTCCATAGACTACATCTATCCTAAAATGCAAATGCGTTATCACTTATCAGCTTATCACCCTTGAGGACAAAAATGGAATATCTTGTCACCCACCATTAAAACGTGTCGCCGGTTCTACCACATGTAAAATTTACTTACACATCTATACACAACATATATTTATATAAAATTAAAATATCTATCTGTGATATCAAAATAACTTTTAGGCTCAGGGGGATTTTACATTTTTATACGTCTGTCTACCTATCTATAGAAAAATTACGAATAGAAAGAAAGGAATCCCAGGAAAGATCTAGGCTATAAGTATTTTAAACGTGGTAGAGCCATGCTGCAGCCATATTAATAGTATAGTTGTAGCACGAATGGATCGGCTCGACCGGGGAAGGACCACGCTCTCACAGTATACCAGCGTAAAATGGCAGCTTGACACTGCTGTGTTTCGTATAGTGAGTGTAGAGAACCGGAGGCCCATTTTACTGATAAAGAGGCATTCCATATTAGTCCTTACGGGTGACAACGCATCTGCATTTTGATTCGCAAACGAGGATAAATGTAGATGTCTATGGGTTACAGCAACCACTTACCATCAGGTAGACTGTGTGCTCGTTTGTTACCCTATCCTATAAAAAAAAAATCCGAGATACAGAGAATTTTTTGTGTAATCGAAAAATTGATGAAATAAGTGACTAATGAAATAACAAATCTATGGGTGTTAAAGGATCAGTAGCTAGCTAGCTAGGCAGGCGGGTTGGGAACGAACACTTCTGCAAATTAATAGATCTTCAATGTTTATTTTAAACATTTTCCCATTATAGTTTTTCGATAGTTGAATTACTTGCCCCAAAACTATTATTATACCTAAATATGCAGGTTTATTATTGTTAAAGTTCTGCTCGACGAAATCATGGCTAAAAGCCACGGAGTAAACTTTGTATTTGCTCCGTGATAAAAGCTTATTAATCTATACCTAGAAATAAAATAGAAGTGTAAAAATATGTAATGATATCAAAATAGCTGCCTACTATTAAGCTCAGACCGGTTATTTGAATGCTATTAAGACATGTTTGAAATTTTTGTCTGTCTTTCTGTCTGTTCGAGCCACAGACTAATATGATGTTCGAGCTAGGCGGAATGGCTAAACCGATTGTATAGATGTTTCGCGATTAGATAGCGAAAAACGCCGGGATTGATCTAGATTATGTTTTATTCGAAAGTTATGGAGTTTTTTTTTTTTTTGTGAAATCGAAATATTTAAAATAAGTGGTGATTGATGATTATCTTAAATCTTAATGATAACATAAATATCCTTAAAAATAAAAACGACAAAGTACATCGACTGTCGAAGTATTTCGAAACGAATTAAACATAAACGACCATTTTGAATCTGTCTCGTGAATGTAAGCCTCTGTAAACTGTTCAGTTTCGGTATGCGTTTGCCTGAAATAAATAAAAATCGATTATGTATCTATTATTATATGCATTGTTATAAAAGTCACATTAAGCATTCTAGACATTACCATGGCCATGATCTCTCCGCGTGCTTTGAATTAAAAGCGTAACAAAAACCCATTTCTGTGAATACCGGTACCAACAAATCACAACATTCTTCGGAGTCTCCTTTCCATTCGCAATCATAAAACAACGTATCACAACGCTGGACGATCTGCAGTTAATTTTAAACATTTTATGTTAGCTTAAATAAAAATAATATTTACTAAGAATCAACACAAATATACTAATATTCAAATATCTTTTTTATATTGATGATTTATTTATTTATTTATTTATTTATTTTTTTATTTATTTTAGGAAGGCTTACAGACTAATATCTTCGGTAGTAACAAAGTGGTGATAAGAATTGCTAATTACAAGCCTCCACACATTACTGTCATCCAACTTTATACAAATTTAAAATACTCTAGGGATTACTTAAACTACTTACAAAAAAAAAAGTAACATAAGCAAAAAAATAGGCAAAAACAAATTACAAAAAAGAAAAACCGCATAGTTCAACTTTCCGTGAAATAACACGTAACGTATAACGTATAAATAACATTATTTTGCTGAAATAACGTATAAATAACATTATTTTGCTGTTTTTTTTTAAAAATAAAGTATACTTAAAATACTCTATACATAGCAGTATCGCTTAGTATTTATTTGAAACAGTATGTATTTATTTATAACGGGGAGTGCTCTGAGGAATTGTTCGGATGAATTTCAGTCGCCAAATTTCACGAACGCAAATCGCGTCAAAATTCACGATACCATCCTCACCATCCGGATGCTTGGCGGTCCACCACTGTGGATTTTAGTAGGAGTTTTCTTCCTCGTACATCTTCTCTGTGGAATTGTTTACCACCGGCGATTTTTTCGGACCGATACGACTTACGGACCTTCAAGGAAAGAGGTTACTCCTTTCTAAAAGACCGGCAACGCGCCTGCAATTCCCCTGGCGTTACGGTTGCTTATGGGCGGCGGTAGTCACTTACCATCAGGTGAGCCGCATGCACGTATGCCCTCTCTTCTAAAAAAAAAATTCAGTATTTTTCCATGCATAGTCGTCTCCCATTGTTCGTATGATTAACCGTAACCAGCATGCTTGTCATGCGAATTGGAGACCACAATACCGGACATATTGCACATATGACGCTGCTATAACTAGCATATTAAAAGAAAATGGTTACTACCACTTTTTATTGCCACAATCGATTGGAAGCGATGAATCACGTCAATTGCGGATGAGAAATGTTCGATTAATTCAGTTACACCACAACCACATTTTAGGAGTGACATGACGGCTCCGTGGCGCAGTGGCTTTGGATTGAGTTATTGCGCTGGGGGCCGCGGGTTCGAATCGTTAAGTAAAGTATTTATATGGCCTACAAATAATTGTTCCGGGTCTGGATGTTTGTCCTCGTGTAATTTATGTTTGTAAACTGCCTCCACGATACAGGACAAAATCCTAGTGTGGGGGTAACGTTTAAAAAAAAAAGAAAAAAAAGGAGTATTAAAACATTACTATCGGTTTAATAACTAACACTTAAAACAGCTTCTTTTGGATCCAAAGCCGGCGCAGGAGCATCGTTAATGCTACGTCCAACTAGATCAGGCTGCGTCACATATTTGGACGCGTTTTCGGCTATAGAACGATAACTCAAAGTAGCTAGCCATTGCAACATGGCGCTTGCATTTGCCGGTACTTCTGAAGGCCATATTCTGTAAAATGAAGACAAATTACAGCCTACATAAGTCCCAATGCTGGGCACAGACTTATACTTAGAGAGTTTTAGGATCCCAATGCGTGTTGGCGGACTTCACTTGTCTTCGAAATATTTTTTTTTATTTCTTAGATATGGAAGTTTCCTCAAGATATTTTCCTTCACCGCCGAGCACGAAGTGAATCAGCACTTAAAATTGCAATTAACAATTTCATTGGTGGTGGCGGAGATGGAACCCTGGTCGAACGCGCATACTGTGAAATTGACAACGTGCTCTAAGCCCCTGAGCTACCACGGCTTTGAAGACCCATAAAAATTCACAAGATATAGTATATATATATATATATATATATATACATACAATAATAGGTATACCGTTTTGCAGTTTTTGAAAATACGAGTAAATAAGGTTGCTATTTTTATTTGAAAATACCCCAAATTGAATGTGATTTATGGGCAACAAATACTCGTACGCATACGCGCGCACAATTCACAACGTTTTGCCGGCCGATCGACCCTTACGAATGTGTGCGTTCATAGTAAAATAGTAAGCATTAAAAAGGACAGAATGTTTGAGATTTTTTTAAATAATTTTTCTTCACCATTTGCCCATAATACTTCTTCTAAACCGTCTTTGCAAATTTGGCCAGTTATTGCAAAATTACCCTGTATACATATTATGTTACGGCTAAAATCTAAAGTGCCGATGTTCCTAGGTTTAGCCGCTCACAATTACGTACAGCCGATTGCTGTTGGTTACACTTACTCGTATCTAGGTGAACCGTTGAATAAGTGTGGATTTGATGTGGATCTTAAAAATCAATTTTCTACCGACTTCAAAAATGAGACGGTACTCAATTCGACTGCATGTTTTTTTTTGTGTGTTACCTCATAACTTTTTTTCTGGCAGAACCGATTTCGATGATTCTTTTTTTAATTGAAAGCTGGTGCTTCTCACGTGGTTCCATATAAATTTGATCAAGGTCTGACCAATAGTTTTTGAGTTATTCTTAATAATTTATATTGAAGTCGGTTGTACAAAATTTTTAATTTTAATTTTAAATTATACTTACTTACTTATCTTCACGCACAATCCCTGACGGGGTAGCCAGAGAGAACAGATCGCCAAGTGTCACGATCCTTACATACCTCTTTCGCTTCTTTCAGATTCATTATCTTCTTCATACATGCACGTCTAGGTATCCGAGTACTCTTGACCCTACCCTCTTCGAGCAATTTGCTCACATGGTCTTCGAAAGTTAGTCTCGGTCTACCTCGACACCTTTTAATATTAACTTTCGCGCTATATATTTTCTTCACCATTCGGTCTTCACTTATTCGCTCAACGTGCCCAAACCACCGAAGCACGCCCTTATCAATTTTTGTGATAAGGTCATCTTTCAAACCTGCCTAATTTTAAATTATATTTAATAATATCCTTATTTTAAAGGAATTTTGCAAGGTAGCTTCCAATTCTGTGTACTTTTGACTTAATGGACTATGCGCTCGTTTGTCGTACTTACTAGCTTCATAATATAATAATTAAAAATACAATAAAAAAACTTAACCTCTCAATATATTCCTGCAGTAAATCTTGATCGACAGGGTCAACGTCACAAATCGTAACCGCGGGAAAAGGCACATCCCAGTTATGGAAATCAGTATCTAAGCCTGCCAAAATAAGAAAAAGTAAAAGTTGTTATGATAATTAACAAAACATTTGTCGAAATTTTAAAGCCTAAATTAAATTTTTCTCTCACCTGTTATAGTAGGGTTTGTTTGGAACTTTTCCCACAGACTTACAATTATAATGCAAGAGGCAACTGCCCCGACTGCAGTAAAACTGAACCACATAAACCTAAAAATAATTAAATGTTTTGAAAAGTGTTTTATATATCACTATCAGCAATTTTTAATAGACTTCAAAAAAGGAGGAGGTTCTCAATTCGACTGTATTTTTTTATGTGTTACCTCAGAACTTTTTTCTAGGTGAACAGATATTCATGAATCTTTTTTTATTTGAGAGTTCGTGCTTCTCATGTGGTCCCATATAAGTTTGTACAAGATCTGATCAGTAGTTTTTGAGTTATCCTTAATAATGCGTATTTAATCCAGTTCGACTATGTGTGATGTTCTCATTTTATTTATATTGAAGTCAAAATTTTGAATAATTTTACCGCTTGTTCCCTAAACAAGACGCTACCAAAAATGTTTATTGCCCAAATATATGTTATTTACCGTAAAACTTACACTCTAGCTCTCTGTCTGGCCTTAGTGTTTTTGGTCTGGTACTTCAAAGTCGTTTTTACATCCAACGAAGCTCTCCGGACTGTCTTGCTGTTTTGATTAGGTAAATCAATTTTCCTACATGTACGAGTATCACCATCTAAATACAATACATTAGTTGCGGTAGATTAGGGATAAGCTTCTTCGCCTTTAAGTTTCATAGTATACGAGAAAATCCAAGTTCAATCCGTGACGGCACAAACGTATTTGTTAATTTGTGTCCGCCAATATAGTACATTGGTGCAACGCAGTGGACCTTCTGCTTCAAAATACTTTTCGAAATCTAAGACGTTACTTTATATAGTTACTTAATATATTGTCTATGCGTTAGAGCCTAAAAGCAGCTATATTATTGCTGTAGTACGAATGTGTCCGCTCGACCGGAGAAGGACTACACTCTCATAGTTCAATATCGTTTCCTTCCATTACGCGAACACTACACATTATAAAGAAATAAAACTGCTTTTTTTATGGATTTTATAGCATACATTAACTTAATTTATATTCTAGACGTTTCAAGTACTTTACAGCACCAATAGTCACGGCGGGAGACTGAGGCGTTCGACGTCCCAATGTCATAATTTAGCACCACTATCGTTTTGGTCATATCTGCATAGCAGAGTTGTGATAGCACTATGAACTTATAGTATTTTGACGTCTTGCAGTTGTACGCTTGGGTCGGGATTTAATTTTATTAATTATAGAATCCCAAGCAAATGGTAGCACCCAGCCATCTTCTGTATTGAAATTAGGATGTTTGATTTCAATAGCCTTGATGTCACCGATTCCTTCCAAGAATGATTCGCGAGACCATTGAAATCAAAAAAACATCTTAATTACAATATAAAAATAAAAACAAATATATATTTTTTTATCGGGCGGTCGAGAATCTAACAACATATGTCGGTGCCTCTATAAAATACCGGTTGAATCGAGAGTGAAACAGAGGTTGCGTCACTCTAGCGGAACGTCATAACAATGGTGGCGAGGTGGAGTTGAGGGTGTATCGAGAAACCCCTCACACGTTTGTGCAATCCTATGCAGCCCTACTTCCCTCTCGCTATCGAGTCCGCAGGCCGTGAAACTCTCTCTCGGACCCCCCAAACAAGCTTTCGGCCGAACTGGACTGCCTCCTGGCGGCTCAGGCCGAATCTTCCCCCTATTCGTAACTTGCTTTAGTTAGGTGCGCTTCTCAGCGGCTACTCGCCGCCTGCGCCCTCTTTTCCTAAAGGGGGAGGCTTCTGATTCGGCAGAAAGGCCATGCTGGCCAAAGCCAGTCCCAGATGGTGTTTAGTGGGTAGGCACTTAGGCTTCATAGTGAGCCCCACATAACCACGCAGCCGGCTGCGTGGTATGATTAGAGCATTCACCACCTCCCTCACCCGCATCCCGGCGGTTAGCCCTTTGCATTGCTTCTGGGCGCAAAAAAACCGTATGTGCAGTATAAAGTTCTCTGTAGGTGCCGTGCGCGAGATAGTCCGTCTAAGTCATTCTACGTAGTAGTAGTGTTGAGATAGTATCGTGGTTGTGTCCGTTGTGATGGTTCTTCTGGTGGAAGGAGTGGGGAGTAGAAGATGGTGTTGCTGAGAGGCTGTGTTACACTGAGATGTGTAGTGTTGCTGTTGGTTTGCATACATTGGTGTTATCATGTAATCACGTTCCTTACGTTACACTGATGTGTGATTGTGGCGGGAACGTTTTACGGTGTGGTCGAATTGTAATTGCCGTATACTGAATGTATGGTGCGTTACACTGCCTCATTACTGATAATGATTAATTGCGTAAGCAAGAGAGCAAGTTTAACACCCACTCTCACACTTTTACTGTATTTAACAATTAATCTCATGATGAAGAAATACATTCCCGATATTTCCGACATATATTTCGTTGTATCTAATCTACTTCTCTCTATTGTTTGTGTGTGATTATGCTTATGAGTACGAAATAGACGATAGTAAGACGGTATTAAATATAATTAAAAGAAGATTAGGTAGGCTACATTTAAATGTACGCAATAAAGATTATTGATTTTGTGGTGTAAGAATAACCAATACCCCATTTCGTTCCATGGCTGTCGTAATAGACGATAAAGAGAAATATCTACCTAAACCATGAGATGGGCAGCAGTGTCAACCTAATAATTACTAGAAGATAAAAAATTGCGGTTGCTAGCCCGCCTGCCGAACGTGGCGACTATTTTCTTTTTATATAGAAAAAGGGGCAAACGAGCATGCGGCTCACCTGATGGTAAGTGACTACCGCTGCCCATGAACAACCGTAACACCAGGGGAATTGCAAATGCGTTGCCGACCTTTTAGAAAGGTGTAAGCTCTTTTTACGAAGGTCCCTACTATGGCAAACATCCCCCTAATGAAATAAACTAAGGGGGTCGATGTTCAGCAGTAGACTTTAGTAGTATGTAATGAATGGATGAATACGGAGAATAAATAAAATAAAAAATACGCTTTGTAGCAATAAATAAAAATGTTCGTACCCACTAAAAAGTTTAATTCATGAAGATGAGTAAGTTTGTATTAATATATATATATATATATTTATACAAACTTACTCATTTTTTATAAATATATATAATTAACGGTTAATATAGTAGGTAAGTAAACAATGTTTTACATTCATACTAACTTTTCACAAAATGGCCGTTCTTTTTCTGCAATGTAACGAACGCCATGCAACGTTGAATTGTTAAAAAACTCCGCAGTCTGATGGCGCAGACTCGTCGCCAGCAATGGGAATATTCCATCGTCGTCATTTTTGTTGTGTCGCTTCTTTCTTTTTCTTGTCCTTTGACTCTGATCTCTTAAAGTATTTTGAGGGTAAACCTTCATCATTATTTCTAATGATCAATAAATTTAAAAAAGTCTAACGTCGTCTTACATGACCAATGACATATTAAATCATGCGAAGCTTGATAACATCAGATTTATCGACCACACGTTGCGTGATAGCCTGCTCACTAATTATGTAAAAGCAACCCAAAACCCATATTAAATAAAAAAGACGATTATTATATTGTTCGACTGCTGTTCTGTCTTTTATTCGCCTAGTGTGATATAGGTACTAAAACTTTATTTTATTTATTTATACACTTTATTGTACTAAAGGTACAAACGGCGGACTTAATGCCATATGGCATTTTCTACCAGTCAACCGGAAAGTTGTAAGAGATGTGTGTAGTGCAGTGGGCTAGGATGAAAACCTAAAATTGATAAATTTCACACATACATATACACACACACATACACACATACACATACATGTAGATCAAACTTATTTAAACATATAAGGATATAACAGATTATATGTTATAGATATGTATGTGTCAGATGAGCCCAAGTAATGTTCCTTTACTTTTGTTTTAAAAATCCACTTGTTAGGGGATTTCCTTATTGCTAAGGTAAGCGCATTCTAGAGTCGTACAGCTGTAACAGCGAAAGAGTTTGAGAGGAAACCAGTACGGTGAGAGAGAATTTGCAGTACGAGATTGTTATGAGAGTGAAGATTGCAATCATGGGAAGAACCCAGGTATTGAAATTTACATTTCAATTTCTCTGGGGCCAATGGATCGTTAAGGATAGTGAAAAGAGTGCTAAGAATTCTAAGGTTCCTGCGTTGTGGGATATTTAACCATTTAAGTTTAGAGCGATAGAAAGAGATGTGGTAATACTTTCGAAGACCATAAATGAAAGGGATACAGTTGTTGAGAAGTCGATCCAATTTATTGACCAAGTAATTGTCTGCATCTAAACAACACACATCTGCATAACCAAACAAAGAAAGAATAAGGGATTCAATTAGAAGTTTCTTCGTACAAGGCGGTAATATATTTTTAAATCAGTACAATTGTCTCAAAGTAGTACAAGTTTTACGGCTAACTTCCTTAACATGAGTGCGCCAAGTAAGAGAATAATCCAAGGATAATCCTAAGTCCCTAACATGAGAGCTGTACGGAATTACCTCGCCATTATAAATCAGTGGATCTAATGATGTATGATCAAGTTTACCTAATTAACGTGCGCTGCCTCTATAGCATGGTATTTGCTGAGATTAACAGTGACCCCATACCTACTTGACCAATTAAGAATCCAATTAAGATCGGAGTTAATCACGGTTACAGAATCATTTATGTTAGTAGCATATAATGTCAGCCGCCCGGCTGTTATTTGGTTTGACGTACCTAATAAAAAGTACCTAATTTTAGCCACGTAATATAAATCAGGGCTGCCATAAACTGGAATATATACCATTAATTAGATCATAACTTATTTTATAGCTAAGTGAGTTATGATCAATTCGTCTGTTTTAAAAATGTACTAGCTTTTCTCTCTGACATTCGGCGTATATTAAGAACACCTTATGTACTCAATTATTTTTTGAAAAAGAAGAAAAAAACAAGCAATTAATAATATACTATATTTTAGCAAAAAACTATAACTTAGTAATACTAATTATAACTTAGAACATAAATGAAAAACCCATAACTGACTTTTTGTCCCGACCCGGGATTCGAACCCGGGACCTCATGATCAGCAGTCGCACTACTACAACCACTAGACCAACGAGGGAGCACTATACCTACTAAGATATTGTGGTTGGGTATTAGGATTATGTTTAACTGTATACTATACTGATAATATTGAATTAGCCTTTTATAGTGTAAATTATAATATTTGTCGAAATGATAATTATGGATTCGAACCAAAAAGCTTCATCGCGCAGTAAAAAATACAACAAATATATGTATAATTAATACGAAAAATTATACCCAAAACAAACAAATAATACTACCTATAAGTAACCTAATAAATAATAATAATATTATCGATTGATAAGATGACGTCAGCGAGCATGTGCGCTGGCTGATGTCGTGACAAACGATACGGGTTTCACCTTGAAGAGCTTAGCGCTCACTGACTCCAGCAAGCCCGTGGGCAGTGAATACGCCCAGTTTTTAAAATAATTTCTTAATAAAATCAAAGTTTGGTTTTTTGAAAAAAAAATTTATGATAGAAATGTTCATAAATAAATTGCCTATCCATTGGTGTAAATCGCAAAATAAAATAATACTTACTTTACGAGGAGATGCATGTTATCAATAATTATTTCACATTTATGTGGTTTCGTTGTAAGGAGATTATTTTAATATTTATTCCTTTAAAAAAATTGGATATGACTCTTATGGAATCAAGATTATGTAGAAATATAATGTGTTTTTTATTAGTTGATATATCTTTTAAATAAAAAGTAGATAGCTCCTAAAAACCGCACAAGTAACGACTAGCGCGACATTTTGCTCAACCTGCGCCTTAAGTTTATGAAATACTTTTAAAACATCCTCCTTAGTGACAGTAGAAAAAGAGAAAGAATCAGTATGCGGGGATGACATGGAAGTAATATCCGAAATAGTTTTCATTTTAATGTGAAATGGGAGACAAACTGATGAAGAAAAGTGTACTAAAACTATCTGAGATTACTTGTTTTTTTAGTTTTACTGAGACCAAGAGAGTGAATAAAGTTCCACGTCTCTGATTGCGATGAATTATTTAGGAAATCATGAAAATATCGACCTTTAGCGGACCTCACCACCTGATTGCAGTATAAAGCAAAAAAGCATTCCTAGCCTTTTTGAAAACCTCCCAGTTCTGTACAGTACGGCAAGATTTATATATAACAAAAGCTCTGTTTATTGCCAGGCGTACGTCGCTAGTGATCCACGGAACTGACGGGCGTTTAATTTTAACCTCGCGTTCTGGCGCATGTGTATTGTAAATATTCAATAATTTGGAATTGAACTCCATAACCATATCATTGATTGAATCTGTATTTAACACCGGAGACCAATCAATAGTAGACACATCATTAACTAAGCTATCTCTATTTAATCGAGCATAGCTGCGTAACTTTATTATATGAGGGATATGTTTAGGTGGTTTCAGTTTATATGAGAGTAATATTAAGTTATGGTTCGAAAAAACCAGGAACTGGGAACTGACCATGACTCGCAACTTTATCAGGAGATGTAATAATTAAATCGATCCATGAATCCACGGTAGAAAAATTAGAGTGAGTAGCTTTAAAGGGAAGAATGAAGAGGTTGACCGAGTTTATGATGGATCGTAACGTTTGAGTATTAGAGTAGTTTTTTAAAAGGTCCGTGTTGAAATCACCCATAGTGTCTTGATGTGTGTACTCTGAGCAGATGTTATCTACAATGGATTCCAAAGTGGAGAAATAATTAATAGAGGGAGGAGAGTAATCGACTCCAAGAATAGCTATAAATTAATTTCAAGAAACATATTCTCCATCTCATTAGCCTTTTGATCTAAAGTGGATATTACTTTGAAGGCTATATCACTATGTAGGTAGATTTACATACATATGATAATGTTACCGTTTTAGGTAACACAATGTAGGCCTACTTGCAAGACAAAGTCGTAAACAAACATAAATCTCGTAAAGTAGTTGTTGAAAAATATAACAGGCAATATGTCTTTACCGAAATGAAAGCAAACGAGTTAAATAAGCTGGTGCTTTAGTGCATATAAAAATTAACTCATATTATATCACTGCTGGGTAGTTAGTTACTCTAAGCTCCTGGAACGCGTTGTTCATAAGCGGCTGAATAACTATCTTGAAAAGAATAGTATACTCTCGGACCGTCAGTTTGGTTTCCGTCAGGGCAAATCGACTGAGGATGCAGTTAGTCTTATCGCAGATATGGTTGTAACTCATCTCGATCAGGGTCAATCCTGTGTCGGTGTTTTTCTCGATCTGGCTAAAGCATTCGACACGGTATCGATTCCCATCCTACTTAAGAAACTACGTGCTCTTGGTATTCGTGGTCTGGCTTTAAACTGGTTTTCCAGCTATTTGTCGGATAGAAAGCAATGTGTCCGAATAGGCGATCAAGCAAGCGATCTTAGATCTGTAGATTTTGGCGTTCCTCAGGGTAGCATTTTGGGGCCGACAATTTTTATTTCATACATTAATGACATTATGTCAATTGAACTCGAAAATAGTGAAGTTGTATGTTATGCTGACGATACAGCCATAATATTTTATGGTAAATCTTGGCACGACGCCTACCTTTCGGCTGTCTCCGGGTTGCATAAATTAAAAAATGGTTAAATTACAACATCTTAACATTGAACACCTCAAAAACGCAGTTAATTTGTTTTCATAAAACTGCAGCGTCTGAACCGCCGCCGTCACTTTTCAATAGCCTTAAAGTACATAATAACAACTGTAGTTTTGGCTCCGTGAGCTCTCCTAATTGTAACTGTGACCAGATAAATAGGGTCGGCTCCCTTAAATATTTGGGCATCATAATAGATGAGAACCTCAACTTCAAAAGTCATATATCAGTGACATCAGCAAGGATCCGTAAGCTGATACACACAATGAGACTATTGAGAGATTCTACTGATTTAAAAGTCAGTCTACCTTGCACTATGTCAGTCCGTACTTAGCTATTGCATACTGGCGTGAGGTGGCATAGCCTCCTCTACGTTGCTAGTGCTGGAAAGGGCCCAGAGGGTAGTTTTGAAGATAGCTATGGGTAAACCAAGGCGTTATCATACGTCAGATCTCTTTAGAGAAGCCCAAGTTTTAAGTGTCCGTAGATTGTATCTTCTGAGGGTGTTTATATTCATGCACAGGGAAGCTTCGAAACTGCCGACATTTGATACTTTAATAAATAAAAGAGTGTTTAAGATCCCCACAACCTTGGTTAAAACATCTTTCGCTCGTCATTTCAGACTGTTCCTATTCCCACGCATCTACAACAAATTAGTTAATTTATACGGCTTAAAGCGATCCCAACATTACG